CAGTTTGGTCCTAAAATAGACAACTACAAATCACCAATCATGCATGTATATATCGTGTCTACGAGTTTGAATATAAAAACACGAAGGTGCAAAGACTTTCAAAAAAAATAATAAGCATCGCTTATGCACTTTAGTCAAGGTAAGTATCAAGTAAAATTCTATTTTTTTTCCAAATATGACATAACGTGTGACGTGTCACCACAACCTATAACTTAACACATATACATATTAAAATATATTTGAAAACTGGTAACCCAGGCATATTATGAAAATATTAAGGATTCTCTGGATTTTTATTTTGAAATTTTTATTAAGCTTTCAACTCGGTGCTTCGAGCCTTCGTCAGAATGTAAGAATATATTATTTACAAAGATTTTGTAGGCGTTTGGAGCGTCTGATTGGTTGGTTAGTAGTTGAGTTGATATTATTGGATGGTATAAGATGCATTGTCATGCTTTCGGGTGTATGGATTGCGTTAATGAAAATCGAGTGTTTTATTTTAGTCGTTGTGTTATTAGTTTGTTGTTTTGGTTTTGTCTTTAGTTGTGAATAGATGATGGGGATGTCAATATGTCTGTTTATTGTGTTGTTGTCTTTGCTGTACCATGCCTCTTTGAATTCATTCAATTTAGACATTTGCTAAATCATTTCCAGAACAATTTTTCTCAACGCAAAATGAAAGTAGCAGATTTTATCAGATGTATTGCACACACCTTAACCAAATACCAAATTCGTTTCCGGTGGATAGTTTATACACCACATATTAAAATACATCACTGTATTAGCCTTGGATTAAGATATGTCGCTAAAATGAATCACTTGAGTTCTGAATTCTCTATAGCTCTCTCAAAGGTCTCTTTCCCTTGCATAAGCCTGTGCAAACACAGTAAACATTTTTTATTTCGTAATTTGAGATAAAACACGATAAGTTATAAATTGCAAGGGAGAAAAATAATGACTATCTCTCTAAATTCATAAAAAAGAAATTTCGTTATCCTTACACACAAAGTTCTGTAAACCATCTATGAATAAAAGTTGCTGTTGTAAAAAGCTGATGAAATGAGCCCAGTCAATATAGGTTGGTAGGATTCTTCTAATATACAAGTTAGCTATTTTCTTTTTTACCTTTATATATTTCTACATATAGTGAGAAAATAGAGAAAACGTTCAAGCGAATTGGTTAAATCATAAATTATTTGGTCGTTTTCAATTTGCCTAAATCGTCCAACGCCTCAATAAATCCATCTTAGCTAGGTTTAAAATCATAAACTTAACGATGAAAATTTTATAGTAAATAAACTGAATGAATGCGATTCCATTTTTTTACCATTATCATAAGCATCTCACGTGTAAGCTTTATGTTTGCCTCAAAGCCAAGATTTTCACCTGGAGATGAGTCAAAGATAAAGCCAAAATCCTAAAGACAAAACATCTGCCTAATATCCTTAATAGCACGATATAATGAACAGTGATTCTATCAGAGAGACAAAGATATCTGCCTAATATCTTTAATTGCAAAGGTCTCAATAACGGTGAGACCTTTGCAATTAATTGTACAGATCACAAAAGAACTATATTTCTTATTGACAAACGTGAGTATTTGCCTTTCATTCATTAATTGTTCTGACAATCATATATCATAGAATAGGTATTGTTTTTAATACATTACCAGAAGTGTTGTGTTGCTTTTGTATCCCGTTAATTACTTTTCCTTTAAAACATTTGATGTCCAATCTTCTTGCTTTTTAGCTTTGAAATCGTGGTGAATTTTAGCTATGCAGTAGTGAGGATAATAATAAGTCTTCTTCATAAAAATTCTATCTGTGCTTACGTGTGTATAATGTATAGTTTTGTTTACTATTAAAATATTAAAAAAAATTATTATTCTGTAGGGAGCGGGTTCTGCTTTGATGGAAAGATCAAGACGCTTTGGAGAAATCGTTTGTGCAATGAACCACGTAATGATTTGATTTTACTATGTTTAACCTCATGATCTTCCTCAAAATTTGCTTCTATTGTTTAAAAATAGTTTGCACTTAGTAATAATCTTTCTCTCACTATTTCAACAATATTTTAGTGCATGTATGTTGTTTTCTGTAAGTATTTTGAGAAATTGTTTTCGATTGTGTGAAATTTTTAGGTCTTGGATATTCCTCTTGCTGTAATAATGAGAACAGGCGTTCATGATAAATAGTGGAATGCTCTTCAACTTATTCCTAAAATCAGAAATTGGGGAGTCTCCCTTGTAACTGTATGTATTTCTCCAAAGTTTATGATTGAATAAATATTTTATTTTTCAACACATATATTATTATTGGTTGGTCATTGCATTGATACTTTTAAATTTTTAGGTAGTAGCTATGTTTTACTTTTGCATGAAAACCTATTAAAAAAAGTTTTTCGAAATTTGATTATTGTTTTCTACACTAGCTTAACTGTTTTTTTCTAAACGATATGAATCCACAGGAAATGGGGACATTTCTTCACTCCAAGATGTGGAGCGACACAGATAGAAAATTGGAGTTTCTGGAGTCATGATAGCAAGGTAGCTAACTGTAGATTTGTTTAAATATCGACTATTTTAAGTATATTTTTTCTTTTGTAGAGGTTCTCCAATAAAACCATGGATTTTCACGGAGATTAAAAGAAGAAGTGAAACAACAATATATGTACAACAATATGTATATGGTATTGTATTATATTCTTCGTTTGAAATCATTCAATATTTTTTTTAGATAAACCATGTTGTTTGTGCCTTGTATCTCATTTATCTTGTCAAACATAAACTTTAGACATTGGGATATATCTTCTACAGAGCGATTAGATATTGTCAAAGAATAAGTGAACTACAGTTTTAAGCACTGGGGATCTGATACCGAGGTAATATCACAAGACTTATTTTTCTATTTTTCCTTACGTATTAATTATTGCTATTTATGCATTTTTACACTCTGTCTTCTGTGTGAAACACACTGTCATGTTTCGTTGTAATGTAGGGTGTTGAAAAGACCATGCATTTTTCTTTTAGAATGGTTATCATTCCTATGCAGACAAGTAATTTGCTTGACATTCTTACGCAGGTATTACGTAATTAATCGAAACGAATCTATTTTTTTGTCAACGTATGGTATGGCGAATGGCAATTTATCAGGGACCACAGAGGGAGATCGATAATAATGGGGAGGGGTCACATTTATATATTTAAATGTTTCGATCTGAAATAAAAATTCATTTTATTGGAAACTAATAAAGTAGAACATCCATATTTCTGTCGTCTCTGTTTATTGAACATTGCGAGTATTTTTACGTTACAATTATTGATGAATTTTTAGTGACACGATAAAATGAAATTCTAACAATCATAATCATGTGATCAATATTCCTGTTTGAATGTGAAACTACGATTGTTTATTTTTGCTTCAACATTGTTTATACTGTGCAATACTCAATAGTTGCACTGTCAGACCTTTCTAAGTTCTAGACCTTTAAAATATCTTATGTCACTTCCTTAACCCACCCCATAAATTAGCCCCACCCTGTAAATTATGTGAAAGTCGTTCCATGAAAATCATCCCATATTTATATTTATAAATTGAAGAAATTTTCAGATGCAATTATACTTCGTTAATACTGTTTATAATTATAAAATTCTCAGACATTTTATCTGTAAATAATACAGGGATGTGTGAAAATCCTGTATCAATGCCAAGTTTTATACTTGAATGTGTGATTAATGTTTTCTATTATCTGTTTCAGCGGTGTTTTGGCGCTTTGTTAAAATGGCTACATTTTATGGCTGTATCGCATCTGGCTTACTCATACTTTATTTGGAATGAAATTTGTTTTACTCCTTCAGGTAATTAAAATATAAACACAAGCTTGTAAATTCTAATATTTCACGCACGCTCGGAAAACATGTAACCATAAGAATTGCAAGTATTTTAGTTAGAGAAATATGTCAGATATTGCTAAATTATCTATAATAAATAGTTGTAGTAAAGATTCGTATGAGTGATGATGTGCAATAGATTTCTCTATTAAATTGTTACTAAGGATGCTATTTATTTCAAAATCAGTGCTGGTAGATGCATTTAGCCATTGCCATGAGCTTGGGCAGATGGTCAAGTCGACTGTGCATGTTCGAGTAAACTGCCCATGCGTAGATGATTTATCTGAAAATTTTGTGACTGAGCGAGCTATTTACTCCATAATTGGTACTAGTGCATACCGTAGTCGTTGCCATGACCATGAACTTGGAGAGTTGGTGCAGTTGACAACACATGCTCAGATTAATTCTCAATAAATTTTGGACGGAGCAAGCTCTGAAATTGGTGCTTGTATATGCGCTTAGCAAGTTTTCAATAATATATTTTTGGCACGCTCTTTGTCTTTTTAAGCTTGTTTTGACAAATGCATATCAAACTCATCAGCACTTTGTTACGCCACTCGTAATATCTGTGACAATGCAAGAGATGTTTTTATTTTTCTCCATAACGTTGTAACTGCATATTTTGTGCATAAACAATTAATATTTTTAACAGATATTGTATATCGTTGAGTGAGGTAAAATAAATACTTGAAAATAAAACTTCCAACGGTGTTACAAAATCAAGCTTGACAGAGGAGAAACAACGACTCCTTGGTTGAAGATTGCTTGATAAAATTGAACATAGTTCAAGCACTCAGCGTATGCTCGAGAGTTTTGGATGAGGACTCGTTGACCACTGAAAACACGAATGACTCCAAGCAAGTTGACGACGATAAAAGCTCTAGCAAGGAGCAGGCTCTAATACAAAAACAACCATTAATAACACGGAGTCTACTGAAGATATGTTCAAACGAAATAATGTTGAATCGCATATACAGTTTAGAATCGCATCAACACTTTGTTACACCACTCGTAGTATCCCTTTGACATTGTTAGAGATGTTTTTATTTTCATCCATAACTTTGTATCTGCATATTTTGTGCTTAAACATTGCTCCAATATTTTTCTGACAGATGTTACAATCCATGGATTGAGGTAGAAGAAATACTTGAAAATGAACTTCCAGCAGTAAAACAAACTCAAGCATGACACAGGAGAAAAAACGACGCATGATTGTTTGGGAAAAGGAGGTTTTGCTTCAGTTGTCGCGGTAACTTTTTATTACATGCATCCTTCAAATAGACGGTAATTTGGTCATGTGAAAGTAATTTTGTACGTGATTTGGAAATGCTTTATATACGCTTAGGTACGTAATAAATTGGAAGTCTGTCTCTTCTGTGCTATCTAAAAAATTCCTTTGAATCCGAAAAGTGTGCTGTTTAATCGCATAGTTACTCGGGAAGAGAAGTTACTTTCTTGATTGAATCTTGAACATATCATAAGGTAAAAAGAAATCCACTATCCAAAATGAATCGAAATTTTATAACATAAGGGTTGAAAGCGAGGTTTAATTTAGACGATACAAATTGCTTGAATTATTAAATGTTATCTTTGTAGAAACTATTATAAAAATTAGATAATTCCGTTTTCCATGTGCCCATGAATGCTTTCGTTCATGATGAGAGCGTTATATTGTATAAGAAGGCTCTTGTTCATAACGAGAGAGTTATGAGAAAGTTAAATTGTAAAAGGTAACATGTAAAAACGTACAAACATGCTTAGAGTCAGTTTAAAATAAACGTCGAAAAGGCAGAAGTTGTTTGAAGCAGCTGTGTCAGATTGACTTCTTTTAAAATTAAATTTCTTTTGAAAACATCAATTCGGCACAACCGAATATCTGAAAAAAACAACTCATCCCCAAATTAGCGTTCTTGTTGCGACTCTCACAACTAGTCGGATACGTGTTGTTAATTTTCATAAATATGTTAATTATTGTTTCCAAAGCAAAATATATGTTTCAACGATTTATTTAAAGCGAAGATTGATAGTAATTATGTCTGAGAAAAAGAGTTGCATGGAAAGAGCAATGTCACATCAGCCTAGTAAGTCAGCCCTCCGTCAGGGACCGTCGTACCTCCGTCGAGGAATTCCAGGCGCCACCCCTGTTTAGAAGTAAGTTTTCTTACATACAACCTCTGGTTCTTACCAAATATTTTCTATATATGTATATCTTGCTTGTATTTAGCGATTGCCGCCGTAACCGGGGTCGTACCGTTTGTTGCATCTTATTGGGCCGCTGTTCCAGCTGTCTTAGTACTATGGCTTATTAGCAACGCAGGAATACAAGCTGTTTTTCTTGTGATATGTCACATTCTGCCAACTTATGTCGTTGATACTGTTATATCTAGTGAGATAAAAGGGTAAGATTAACTGAACTTCTTAATATCATGAAGATGTGTGGAAAAGTTAAGTGGTATTATCTACAAGCTATACATAGCTAAAATTTACAAAATTCAAGTATCGTTCACTTAACGTACTACCCTCAACCCTCGTCATTTACCTACACTCTTGACGTATTATCCTTAACCTTGGTCATTTTACCCACATTCTTGACGTATTATCCTCAAACTTCGTCACTTTACCCCAATACTTTATGTAATATCATCGACCCTCATCACTCTACTCTTACTCTTGACTTGTTATCCTCAACCCTTGTCATTTCACACATGCCGACATATTTTTAGTTTGCTACTTCTCCATTTCCTCATTTAAGCGGCAAGCCTGTACCTCTAAAATGCTTTAGACAATCATTGGCTTCTAAATGCTACTGTATCTTCAGCTACCGATAAAGAACACATTTTGATTTTAATGTCAAATTAGACAGCAATGAAGCAAAGTACATTATGTGCTTTTCTGTAAGCTACAAATTTTCTTTCTAAACTCATAACGTTTCGTTTGTTCACTTTAAGTAATTTTTAATAAACAAAACAATGTTTTCACATATATTTTATGTATTTATTATTTTACCATAATGTTCAATTATACAGAGATATACTCTCCACAATATATTAGAGCAGTATAGAATTCTATATAAATATGAGATATCTTTTTAAAAAGAATTGTCTACGAGGCTTTGTAGCGTCTACGAGGCTGTTGTTACAGTATCATTATATTAAATGTTTCTCAAATTTTAGACATTTCCTAAATCATTTCCAGAACAATTTTTCTCTACTCTAATTGAAAGTAGCAGATTTTATCAGCTATACTGCACACACCTTAACTAAATACCAAATTCGTTTCCATTGGATAGTTTATACACCACTTAGTCAAAGAAATTGTGTCATTTTATCATTGTTTATATTGCTGATATTAGTGATATATTAAACCGATAAAAACCTGGCTTGTAAAACAAATTTTTACATTTTTTCTTTGTAATCAGCGCTGAATTTGCCGAGCTTTAAATCGGTTGATATCTTATAAAATGACGACGATATATTAAAGTCTTACACTTTTCTTTTTCAAATCACTCATGTTTTTGGTCTTTTTATTTCAAGTTCAAAAATTGTTTGTTAGCATGAAGGCTTTTTCTGCTGCTTTATCAAATTACCAGTTTCTAATGTAGGTGACCAAAAGCACCAAAATTTGCAAGCACCAGATTGTACATGCAGTTGTCATGGTAATGCCATAACAAACAATTTGACATAACGCAGAAAGATACGTGTAGAGTAAACAAAAGTGACACATACTTGAAATTTTTCAGCATAAGTGACTTCCTGTTTGTATTATAACTTTATGCAATTGAAAAACTTTGTATAATACATTTGATAATTTTTAAGATCCACTCTATCATACTACAGCAAGGAAATTTGTACAACAGGGCTTGTATTCCATGCATTCAGGTAAAAGAATCGTCTGCTCTTCACCCTAAAACTTGGTACAAAGTTTTTAATTAAAATTTTAGTGAGATATGCCATCATGTTTTACAAAGTGTTCACAGAATGGAAAAGTGTCCAATGAGATTATATAACATCCTTTAAAAAATTTCTTGTTTTTTAGTTACTTATATCTATAATGGCAATCATATAATATGAGATAAATTATAATAGTCTATACAAACCACAGTTCGAAATATAGTACAAAACTAAAGAAATATAATGTAAATGAAGTAATACATGTATGCTACATTTTGTCTCTAAAACGCCGGAATATAGACATGAATACAGCCTTTGATTAGTACGTCCTATCACAGGTTCTGTAATCCAAATATTTGTGTACGCCTATAGTAAAATAAGTCATTTTATAAAGAAAGAAATGATAATAAAGATAGTTTCGGATATTAAGAATTCTAGGCAAATTTAGAGGCCATGCAGCTTAGTTTTTGTTAAAGATAACAGATTTTACTCAAATAAATTATAGCACAATAGCATTCTTTTAAATTTAGGCTACACTTCGCAATTCTTTATGTATTTAGTCTACAAACAACGTTCATTAGGTCTTCTTTTAGTGGATATGAGCCATCAAACATTTACTCCAAGACAAAAAGCGCGAATAAGAAAACATTTCCTCTTGCCTTGGACAGAAAATAGCAAGAAGAAAAAGAGGTGCGATGTCTTTTGTAACTATATTCACACAAAACCGGAAAAACATATTATGATTCTACTTAGACTACAAAAAACACCAAAATATCATGAAATGAAGTTCATCAATATGATATATTACATTTAGCTTTATTAAGCTTAAGAGTGAACTTGTTTCTGAGCCACTTAAGCAAGAAATTGTGGTATAGTATTTGTCATTTGTGTGCTATTTAAGAGCACGCATCGCAGGTTAACTATGTCCATTCAACGGGAAAATGTTTGTCTCATTAATGTAAATAACTTCTTTTTTACTTTCTTTTTTCAGCAACGACTTATCACCTGTGCAAGACTGAATTTAAAACCGACTATGATTTATCTATTACAATTCTTACTTTTGAATACAGTGCAGTTTTATTTTAGTCATAAAGAAGGCATGGGGTGTCACAAAGTCATTTTCGTTAGTGGTAAAGTGTTTCATATAAAAGCCATTTTCTTTATATCACCAATGTTATCTTTAAGATCTTCTGATTATTCTCCTCTCACCTGGTGATAAGGTGGTTTACTTTTCTCTTCTGTCATGGTGTAAGTAATTTGACACATCAACCAGCATTAATTTTATCATGAATAATATGCTAATTTTAACGATATAGACAATGCATTAGCCAATGAAATAGACAATAAAATGCTGCTGACGTCAATACGTCATAGTACTTACACTATTTGCATATCATTCATAAGTTTTGATTTGTTCGTTTGTTTTCATTCTTTATCGTGACGCGCTAGAGGCTTATCAAAGCTTTATTACAAAAAAATGCCAAAAAGTCAGAGCAAAGTCAGAATCAAGAGGAGTCCTCCCAAATGTAGGAAATGCCTCAATCACGGAATATCCGTTAGTGTTAAAGGACATAAACCAGACTGTGCTTATAAAGATTGCCAGTGTGATTTATGCATGAATACTGAAGAAGAAAGATGTCAGACGGCTGCAAGAATAGCAATATTTAGAGAAGGCAAACGTTTGTTTGAATCAGTTGGTATGTTGCACAACAATCTATACTTTCTTGTTTAATGTTAAATTAATAGAATATTTGATTTTCCCAATAATTCCTGCACGATGTTTGTTTGGTGAAAGGATAAAAATCATTTCGTTCAACTATACAAATTTTGTTTTTTTATGTTCAATTTCTATAAAGTGATCTTAGCTAGCAAACTGTTTTTTCACACATCTTTACCATAGACAAAATCTTTCAAAACTATTTGTTTAAAACGAGCAGACTCACTTGAATGGCACTATCGTAGAGAAATATGAAACATGTGTTAGAAGCATTAGTAACGAAAGTCATTTGCGTTGTTCTTTCTGTCATTGACGTAACCTGTTCTGAACAAATGCCAGCGCTATAGAAAATTACCATTTTTCATTTTTATAGAACTTTTATCATTTTGAAATGAGTAAAACCAAAAATATTATCTATGTTACAACAACCACCACTTCGCCAATAAGAAGCACTTTTAGTTGGAATTTTCATTCACCGCGTGGTAAAAACTTCGCGCTCGTCAGAGAAATGTTTGTGCTTAATCATACTGTGTGCGTTGCATCGGAGGGAAAAATTAATATGCTGAAAAGACAGCTACATTTACCACTTGCATTGAGTCAATACAATACAAATGAACTGAATCACTATTTTCACATTATTTCTTCAAGTTTGGATAGCAAGAATCGTTTTTACAAGGCCACCGTTTCGGTCTACAAAATTGAGACACGTTTATACTTTACCTGAATGCTTTTGAATGGGAGTGTTATTCTAACCGATTAAAAATTATATAATTATGTGTTCACATTATATGATCACTTATGATTTTGCGCGACGTATAGTTTGGGTCCAAATATGTATAACATTTTGCAACTGTATAAACCTAGATTGTACTGGTTTAACACCAAAAAGTGCCTAGAGCGTAAGTTAATGAAATTATTTACTGAACGAAGATTGGCTTACATTTATATGTTTCTACGAGACCACGCTATCAAACAAAGAACTGAAACAATTTAAAGTTGATGACAAATTTTCTTCTTTGACAATTTTAACGTTGGCAAAGGTAATTTTATCTTTATTTTAACAACTTTTACTCAATTTTATCTTAAACACTGTGCACTGCAAACACTGTATAGTATGTCGGTGTTGAAATGGAGTCAGAATATCACCAGTTGTAGAACTACGTTTTCCTGTATGTTTCTATAAATACTAAGAGCTCTGATGCATGAGTTTTCTGAATGACTTTTTATGTTGGAATATAATTCATTATACAACATAACCAAACCGGGCTTCAGTTTTGAGCAAAAGTATTATAACCACTAATTTGAAAATTAAAATACCTTTATAACAAAGTCATTGATTATGAATTTCTGAAGATAAACATCAAGAAATGCATGTGTTGGATGAAAATAGTTAATGACAATACCGTGCCAGCAATCGCATAAAGCGCTATTATTCATAAACTGCTTTTCACAGTAATGATTACTAGACGAGAAAATCTTCTTACTTATGAACAAAAGGTCGAATTCAATAGCGTTAACTTTTTGGGTAAGGTATATCTTAAACA